GTTGCTTCATTAATCCACGTAACTATATAAATGTAGGAAGCATAAACAATGTAATATATGACATAGTAATTATTTACAAAATAGTTCCTGCACTTCAAGAATTGTTATTGAAAATCATCGGAAAAATGTGTTTAATGAAATGCAATATTCAGTCGCCGTGGCAACCATAAAATATTTTATCGTACGGCCTCAATATTACAAAGATCTTAAATGCAAACTAGCGAAACATATCTCATGTAAGTTATAGATAATTATACGTAGAGTTTATTATCAATAAATATACATGTATTATTACACCAATAACTCTATAAACATACTTTATAATAACAAAAACGTTAATTTTTGTTTCACTGTAAGTTTAGGTCTTTCAGCTTTCAGGCATTTATAATAACAAATGCATGTACATACAAAACACGAAACGGATATTCAATAATTCACATGGCCTTCTTTGATTCCATTTAAATGAAACAGCCCCCTTGTGGCCGAGGGGTTACCGTTAAAGGTTGAAGCATTAGAATTACATTCACCATTTATTCCTGTGTTATCGTAAGATGCGACTAAATATATATTTAATCACTTGAGTTTATGCATCACTTAGGTGAGGTGGTTATGACCTCTGGTGTTGATTTAGGTTTGAAACATCCGAGGTTAGCCAAAACCAACTTTCTTGTTTCGGTGCCATATAACTTAAATTGTCTTGTTGTGCAGTTAAACCATACAAAACAAACAGAAAATCAGACAAAACAGTACATGGCTTATGGTTATAGATTTTTAAATCAATTGTGATAATAAATATAAATGCAATTTTTTTTCTACGAAAAAATAGATACTTTCCTCAAATGTACATGAATTATAATCATAACTCATATATGTTCATATATGTTTTTTTAAACAACAATAACAAAACATATTTATGACCAATGTGTTAATTAAGCAGGCAAATAAATACACACAAACAATTATTTAAAACAATTCATTTTAACAGCTCTAATTAAACATTAATGACTCATTTAAAATTACTGCCACATTGCATGTTCCTTAAAACAATATTTATACAAAGTAAACAATTTATAGCTTAGGAAATTTGTACATAATACTCTCATAGCAGATTCAATAATTTATCAAATTACTTCTTATTCGTTTCTCTTTACAGACCTTTGATATATCAATGAGGAGTGTTCCGTAACTCAAACAAGTCAACTCTCGGTGCAAATATATTAAATGATTTCAAATATCACAAGTTTGAAATGTAGTCAAGACTTAGTTTTTTCCTTGAATGTATAAACTAATTTGTTAATATGTTGTCAAACCTTGCCGATATTTCACGCGGTCTGAAAAATTTGTTACGTCCGAACCAAAATATTCAAGAAATGCTTGTTACATGTCGTTAAAGACTGTAAAATGGATATTTTATAAATGCATTGATGTGCTCATCCGTTACTTATGGCAATTCTTTGAATGAGTAGACCAATACCAATAGGAGTGCTTGTTGACATTTTAATTGCATTAGAAATGAACTATTACAATGTGTAGTAAATTTCACATGTTTTGAGACAATTTGTTTCCTTTTTATAATATCTTTCAAACGTAACAAACATACAACAATATTTTATCTAAAATTTAATTACTCAATGCCATGTAACATCCGAGGTTAGCCGAAAACAACTTTCCTATTTCGGTGCCATATAACTTAAATTGTACTGTTGTGCAGTAAACCCATACAAAACAAACAGAAAATTAAACAAAACAGTACATGGCTTATGATTATAGATTTTTTAAGCAATTGTGACAAGAATTATTGATTCTAAATGCACATTTTTTTCTACGATAAAAAATGGATACTTTCCTCAAATGTACATGAATTATAATCATAACTTATATATGTTCACATATGTTTTTTTCTAAACAACAATAACAAAACATATTTATGACCAATGTGTTAATTAAGCAGGCAAATAAAAACACACAAATAATAATTTACAACAATTAATTTTAATTAAAAGCTCTAATAAAACATTAATGACTTATATAACCTTACAAAGTTGTCCCCGCACTTTAAATATTGTTATTGAAAATCATCGGAAGAAGTTGTTTAGTGAAATGCAATATTCAGTAACCATGGTTACAATAATACATTTTATCGTACGGCCTCATTATTGCATAGATCACAAATGCAAACTGGCGAATCGTGTCTCATGTTAGTTATAGATAATTATCTGCAGAGTTTATTATCAATAAATATATTATTACACCAATAACTCTATAAATATACTTAAAAAAATAAAAAGAACGCTAATTTCCGTTTTGCCGTAAGTTTTTAAGCCTTTCATATTTCTTCATTTAATAACAAATACATTTACATACATAACACGAAACGACATATATTCAATAATTCACATGGCCTTCTTTAATTCCATTGAAATAAATCAGTCCCCTTGTGGCTGAGGGGTTAAGGCATTAGAATTGCAGTCATCATTTAGTAAGATGCAACTAAACATATTTGAATAACTTGAGTCTATGCATCACTTAGGTGAGGTGGTTTTGACCCCTGACCCCGTTTCACTAAGAAAAGATCAGGATGAGGATCAAAAACCAACAAATAACAAAACAAATACAAAATATTCGGATCAAAATAAGGATCAATTTTAGGTTCAGGATCAGTATTTGGATCAACTGTAAAATGCCCATGTTTTGCAAAAATAACAATTAATTAATTCTAAAGTTTCATAAAAATGCTATTGCAAGTTCAGTTTTATCAAATAAATATTAGATTTTTAATCTATGAGGATAAACAATGAAGAATATTAGAGTTTTTAAATTTGATCCTGATATTGATTCTGATCCTTAAATCTTTGTGAGCACAGGGCCTGGTACATTTGAGGTTAGCAGAACCCACATTTCCTGTTTCGGCGCCATATAACCTAAATTGTGCTGTTATTCCGTAAAAACCAAACAAAGCAAACAAATAAATAAATGAAATAGTACATGACTTATGATGATATGTTCTAAAAGCAATGGTGACAATAAATATATCGGCACTTTTTTCTATGAAAAATGGATACTTTCCTCAAATGTACATAAATTATAATCATACAAAATGTATGACGCGTAATATGTTTTTCATATACTGTTTTTGTGTGTTTTTGTTTTTTGCTTTTTTTTGTTTTTGTTTTTGAAAATAAACATCAACAATAACAAAACCTTAATGTGTCATATCTAATCACTGCCACAGTGCATGTTTTACGTAATACATGTACCAAGTAAACAATTTATAGCTGAGAAAATTTTAACACAATACACACGTTGTAGGGTCAATCTTTTATAAAATTACGCAAATGTAATTGCTGCTTATTCATTTGTCTTCATTGACCTTTGATATATCAATGATATCTCAATGAGGGGCGCAGTTATACAATCAATTTCTTAAAAACATTTTCTACTTACCATATTTCACTTAATGACACAATAAAACAAACACCTATTAAAACAACATGCAATAATGTAGTTCTTGTGACTTTAATAAATATTTGTGATGCCGTGTCACAAACACTCCCTGGATACTAGATGACACGTTTTCATTGTAACAGAACTTTTAAGGTTTAATTGTTGGAAATTAGAAACTATTTAGGTAAAATCAAATAAAAATCAACCCAGATATTCTAAAGCTGATACTCTCGTTAAGGTTAAAATAAAAATGGACGACAGGTATAAAATATCACCGCGCGGAGATTATTGAGACCAAGTATAAAACAATAACATTTTTTAAAATGATATGTCCTTTGACAATCACCTAAACTTTAATTTAAGCAACCTGGTAATTTTCATCCGTCATTATGTTGTTTTTTCATCTTTATCTAACAATTTATGTTGTTTTTTTCATCTTTATCTAACAACAGAAACATACTTTATTAGAGGTAATTAAAAGCGTTAATTAAATAGGTTGTGTATGAATTTGAAATTGCAACTGCTCGTATGGCCGCAAGCACCAGTCTGAGCAGTATTCAATCGTCATCAACACTGACTGATATTCCATACTGAAATTACTTTTGAAAGAGACTTTTGTCCTACTTTTTTACTTTACACTCCAAGTCATGAAAAAAATAAATCGGCTGTGTTTGAATTTATTTTATGTCAGTATTCTCGGAACACATACTATATAGTCTGCTAGCGGCAACTGATTCTATCTATGCTATTATTGAAGACCAAGTTTTGCCGGTAGATGCCTGGTCATTGTCTACATGTGTTCTCTTTTTTTAGGTCAGTTCCCATAAACTTAAAAATTGTTTTGTCCAGATTGAAAAAGTGACATGTCATAATAAGATTTTTAGCGAATGTAAGCATTAGATGATAAAATACAACTTGAGAAGCAGACATAGATTATTTCGGATTTCTCGAGGTGAATTTAAATATGAAACCATATATACTCACAAAATTAACAAATTAACTGGAATAATACTGAAGTGTATCCTTAGTACAAAATCAATCAACTCTTTAATTGCATTATTTGTGGGGTTAAAGAATCGTCTGATGTCAAAACAAAAATAAAAAAATGATTTGAATAACATATGTTCAAACATCTAAATAAATGATGATCATATTTACAAGAGAAATTCAAATAATACATTTTGTATTTGTTAAATTTATCATAATTAGACAACTTCTTTGTATATAAACTAAAATCAGCAATATAACCTACCTATTTTCGACGTTAAAGCATTTATTATAGAATTTATACATACTTACGTGCCAGTTGCATAGGAGCATGTAGGACTTATTGGAAAAATAGATATAATTTCTGTTGTTTCAAAGTCTTTTTTATAATTACCCGTGATGATATAGAAATTTAGCATACTTTACATTGTTTTAGAATAGAACTAGACTATGCATTATTTCTTATTTATATGAACAAAGACTCTGAATTACACCCTGAATTACACCATGAACACAAGCGATTTGCTTGATGCATTAAATGAGGCAATGTCCCTGTAGTGTGTTTGTGTCTAAAAGTGATAAGATTGATATATCTTTTCTCCATTTTCCAAGTTCAAATAACCTTTGAAGTATGTTCTTGGAATAACAACCATATCACTTGATTCCACTGAAAATAAAAGCAAAAGAAAAATGGAAGTCATGGTTTGATCAAGGTTAATTATTATATAAATATAATTAAATAATAATTGAATATCAAATAAGGCGATAAATCAATGATTTGACTGTGGGTATTTTGGATGCAATTTTTGATAATTCGACTGAGGTGTATAATATAGTTATTTATTTTATACTTTTGAAAGGATATTTGATTTTCACAGGAAAAATTATCAAAATATTATTTCACTCCTTTCAATGTTAAAGATTTTCCCATTTTTGCTTACAATACCAACATTGTCGGGCTGTTTAGAACAATCCGCAATCTTTACAAAAACAAACAAATATCCTCTATTTACTTTAAAACAATTTTTATGAGTTTTAGTTAATTTGATAGAAGTAACGGTTTCCAATAAACCAGTGATTTTTGTAAAAACTTGAAACAGATCGCCAATATATCTAAACTTTGAAAGTGCTTGTTTAAATATTAAAATCCGTCAACTTTAGGGTTAATCTTATGCGTTCATGTATGACATTATAATCATCATTACACAGATTGTGAATATGTGTGCATTTCTCAAATAACTTACATATTTTCTTATGTTTCCTTTTTTCAGAAAAATTGTATTCTCTCACGCATGAAAAATGATTTTTTAAATAAATAAATATCAGATTACAATCACTATCAGATTTCAGGAAATAATTGGTTTGTTGTCCAGGAAAGATATTAGTTAGACTGACCTCAAAGATAAGGGTTTACGTGTGTATAAATCGGCGTAAAAACAAACAAATTTAATTGTATCTTACTCATTTTGTTTGTAGCTTCGTTGATTGTCAACTTTCCCCCTGTATGGACTAAAACAGTACTTGTACCAATAGCTGCTACCACTCCACCGAGGATTGGTCCTACCCAATATACCTGAAAAGTATACAATTATCTTAACACTGTTATTTAAACACTGAAATAAGATAAAATACGCTTAGTTTTTATATTTTTTATTTATTTAACAAGATCAGTTTGTATTTACTTTACTAAAAAAAAACATGAACGATTTTCATACTAGACAACTTATATAGATTTGTCCATCAAAACAATTCATCATTTTAAAATACTAAAAAAATGAACTGATTAAAAGGCACTTGTCGCATGAGATTCAATTGCCAGCAGCAGACTAAGGTGTAAGAAGTTAATTAAAAGCATCTGCAACAAAAAGTGTACATTAAACTGTGGGAACAATATGTGCAAAATTATACTAGTTATTTACAGTACATCAGTTAGAAAGATTATGATCGTTTAAATCAATTTCGAAAGTTGTTCAAATTTTTTAAATGACGCAAATCCGATAATGTTGATTTTAAAAATCACCATTTTCTGTTCAGAAGTGAAAACTTATGTTCTTATTGGTTTAGTGTTTCTTAGAAACCGCGACTAATATATTGATTTATGATACAGGTAACGTTATGTTATATACATAATTAAGGACATTGTTAAAGAGACTTGATAATAAATTATCCTATTGTTTTCTTCTTACGAGTTCTGACTGAAAATGCACATGACATTTTTTTGCGATTGTTCTATTACAACAAAAAAAAATGACAGTTGAAGAATGCTTAATTTTGCTGTTGCCTACAGTCAACAATGTTTTAAATTTCCATTGACCTTAAATTTTGAACAACGAGAGTATTAATTCTAAGGACAAAGGATGTAAAAATGTTTCAGTAGAAAAACGTTCACTTATACTTAAATGCTCCATAAGCCTATTAAATGCTATTATCTTTGTATCTCAAGAAAACCTTTTTTTTTGGTGTACAGTTTCACTTACCAAAACGTTTCTCATTGGCCACATTGCTTAAGATTATTTTGTGACTTTTGAGATTTGGTAAGGTTATAAGTATAGTTATAGTGAATTTGTGTTTTGCATTGAAGTCGGAATGCTGCTTTATTAACATTAGGCTACTTTTAAAGCAAATTTTAAAATAACCCATAATTTTGTCGCCATAAACAAAAAACAAAATAACTAGTGTAAAACTGCAAATATTGTTCTTGTTTACATTCTCTCATGCCTGTAAAATGGATAAACAAACGCATTATGATTATTATAAATTATCCGTTCTTGTTATGCTTTTTGTATAAAAAAACCAAAATTAACATCTCGCAGCCACTAACAGTTTGTAGTCCAGTCTGATGTTTGAATTGTTAATCAAAAGATATATACGATACTTAAAGTGAAAATTGTTTTTTGATTTCGTTTATTTTTCACCTAAGAGGCAATAGATTGCGGTGTAGAACAGCCACATACATGAAATTATATCGGTCTGAGTGGTGGTTATAGGCTATTTAACAAGGTTTGTAGTTTTGATGCAACAAATTAATTTTATGGATTTCGTGGTCATATCCTTAGCATCAAAACTCCAATCCGATGTTACTAAATTAATATAATTAGCCGAGAGATTATTATTAGACTATTATTTCTGAAATATTTCACATTCAGCGCTATTTTCTTCAAGTGACAAGCTTCTCGTATGATCTTAACCTATTATTTTACCATCATAAATAACATATTTCTTCCTTTTACAGAATGAATAACATATTCTCTTCCTTTTACAGAATGAAAAGCATAATCATTTTCGAGGCTTGGTGTGCCCAACAATTTTATTATTAAAGCTAAGTAAATCATACAATAAGGCAAATCATATGAGCTTCTTGCACGTTATGTTATTATTTATATGCAAGCCTTAATGTTTCAACGTCATATTTGAAAGTATTGCACGCAATGTTTGATCGAGCCTGTTCTTGGAAAGCAGTGGAAATTGTAAGCTACTGTCCCCGCCCCCTAGCACCGGCTATAAGAAGTTATATTAAATAAATCAGTAAGAAATAAGCTTCAGTCAAGGCAATACTAAGATAAATACGCATTACTTTTCTTTTAGATAATAACAACAACGTACAAATCCGTAAAAATCACAATTAAGTTATTTCTAAGACTTATTATATTCTATTAATATATTATATTATATTTTTGAATGAATTATTAAATTGTGTAATTAAAAAAGATGATTTACCCAGTGATTATTGAATGAGTTGTCTGCAGTTGATATTGCAGAAGAAGCCAATGAACGTGCTGGATTAATACCAGCTCCAGTGAAAGGAATCTGAAATAAAAAATACTTCTTTATTTAATACATTTATATATCATACGACGTTGTATACATAAACATGTATAAGTTTAAGATTCAAATGCCTAAAAACATTTCTTGTTCTGGTTACCAAGATTAAACATAGCTGCCTCTGTTTGTGACACATATTAGAAGTAAAAAGTAGATTGATATGCACAATTAAAAAATATATACAGGACGGATTGCTCCGATTTATCATATGTCATATATATGCTGACTTACATGACAAATTGACAACATATAAATTCTGATTTTGAAGAAGTGATAATATGATAATTCGAGGATAACATAACTTTTTGGTTGCAGTCTTTACTAACTTAAGTTTTAGTTGTCCATTCAAAAAGCAATAATCTTATTTTGTTTTGTTGTTTTGTTTTGTATTTGAAAGGAGAAAAATCGTTTTGAAAACCTCAAATACATTAATATCAATAATATACTCGTTGCATAAAATGGCGACAACCTTACAATTTAAATAAAAAAGTATGCTCAATATTTGAATGTAGTTGAAATCTGAAAAAGCAATCAAGAAAAGGTACATTTTCTTAACGGAACATAACTACAAAATACAAAACGAAACAAAAAACGACAGCGCTTGTTAGGATTATTTGTTGTTTCGAATGTAATTTTTTGAATTTTATTTGATTCCACAATATTGATTCCTTCACATTATATTACTTACAGCTGCCAGATGTACAACGCCAACTGTGAAGCCTATACCAAGAGCAGGACTTCCAAACAATGCTCTATTCGGATCATTTGTTCCAAATATGGACATTACTAGGATGAATGTGAAAACTATCTCACACACAAGTCCTTGACCTTCTGAGATTTCATTGTTCAATGATGTCAGACCAAGGTTTCCATGTAATCTGGGCGGTGTCACCCTATAAATCAATTGTTATCTGTTATTATAACGTTACTTCTGCTATGTGTCAATAATTACTTACTAAACAACTGTACTGCAATTTCGGTGAAAATAATAATTTGATAGTAAAATGAGAGACTTGCTTTGATAAACAGGGCATTGAGCTTGAAACCGTTTTCCTTTTACCCAACATATCATGTTACCCTATAATTATGTCTCTCCAAAACTGAAGAGTACAGTTCATTTCAAAATGCGTGTAAAAACGTCACATTATGTGTTAGGAACAGAATAGAACCTGTATCGGTAAAGATGGGCTTATAAATTTCAGTAAATACCGTCTATCAAACAAATATTTAACGAAAGCGTCTTAGATAATTAGTATGTCAAATATATGGAAACAGCTAGTTCAAATCTTAAATAATGTAACATTCACTTAATTTAAAAAATGTCAAACTGACTTTTCATTTATTTTTACTCGACCTTTTACTGAGAATAGAAAGGCTACATTTTTTGTTAATGTAAAATATAAATTTCACCCAAACCGATAAGTTCAATACATTCCTGATTTGACGGAAACATAACAATTTAAGAAAAGTTTAATTTCAGCATTTCATCGTGTAAGTCTATCCATTACTGTATGTCCTCAAAATTGGATAAAACAAAACAAAATAGCTGATTCTGTCCGCTCTCATAAATGATACAGATACGTTTATTGCTCCCTTGATGGTATCCACAAATAAAATTCCTGAATGAAACAAAGTCTTAAGTTCTGTCTCAGTCAAAAACGATGACTTCCAATTAAACAATATGATTTATATACAAAACTCTGTAAATGCCAATAAAGCAGTAATTGCACTTAAGACATAAGTGCTTTTATATAGAAAGAAAAGGTAGGTAGTTTAATGAAACAACAAGGAAAGTAATATCGAATGGAACTTTCCTCAGATCATATCGTATGTCATGCTTCCAGTTTGAACTTGAATAAAGCAGCTTTGAACAATATGTACATGTATATACTGCAATCTATAAATATAATTTTATACCTGAATTCCACTTGTTTTTTAAAGTCAATATTGTATGAAAAGATATGCAACTAGTTTTATGACAGACAGTAACATTTCAATGTGCAGAACAATAGAACAAGCTTTTTAATTTTTCAAAATATACGAGTAGACATTCATATTCTAAAGGGAGTGACAATATAAATAACATAAATTTCTATTATAACAAATCCTGATAATATTCTCTTTGAGCTTACCGTCTTGACTGCACTTGCAAAAAAGAACACTTTAAATCCAACTAAAATGTGATTTGAATGAATACTACAACACAAGAAATAAAATACCATGTAGCTTTTAGAAAAGATGACTTTTTCTGTCACTTTAGATTATCTCTCATCAAAATAATACTAGTTTACCCTTTTAATAGAAGCGATCCTAATATGCCACCTGCGCACTGTGCTATAGTATACAGTAGAGCACGTGAAGGTGTGATCTCCATTGCAACCGCCATCGCGATAGAAACTGCAGGATTCATGTGACCCCCTGACACGTGACCAAACATCTGGATACATACGGCTATCATGAGTCCAAATGTGAAGGCAATCTGAAATTTGATGTACATATAAATATATTAACTATGTCTAAGTACCATAGAACAGAAACAAAGTTTCATATTTGTATAAAATGATATTGATAAGAAAATAATAAGAAATCTAGAGAAAAAAAGGAAATGAATATATTTACAATAATTAGCTTTAGGCTTAATGACTTCTAGCAACCTTAAATAGAAAATATTTTGTAGTAAGAGCTACGTTTATACTGGCCCGAAATGAATTGTGCTGTGTCTCAATATCCAAGTTTTGTAAGGTTGTGCTAAGTTTAATCACGGTTAATCATATTATTCTTGATTAAAGACTTGAACTCTTCAATTAGCATTTAGGTTCAAACTGCGTTCTACTAAGTGCATGAATGTTGCTCCCAGGCCTGATGCGTCCTGATTTGATGCCGCACGTTGTTCAAGTCTTCATCCGGGTCTGAAACTTTTTATGTTCAGTAAAGGAATCCAACAGATCAATTGAAGACGCCGGAAAACTTTGGAGAACGTGTGTATATACAGAATAAGAAAACCCCTTAATGTCCGTAAGTCATTAAAATTGTATAACAAAAGACAACGTAGATTGCTTCTTGTTTGTTTGCTATGCGTTCTTTGCGCCAGCCGCCGCGCAGTCTGATCAGGATCCATGCTGTTCGCTTACAAACCCTATTACAAGTAGAGAAACTGATAGCGAACAGCATGGATCCTGATCAGACTGTGCGGAGGCGCAGGCTGGTCTGGATCCATGCTGGTCGCAAACCCACTATGTTGGTTTTGTCATGGCACGGCTAATATGTTTCTGCATAGAATAACAAAATCTAGTGTATTTTAAGGCTTTCTAAATTAACGGGTATAGCGTCGTCATAAAAGAAGTGTTTGTGAGAATTGGCACTATACAAAATTTCTGGTTTTTATTTGATATGAATTCGTTTTGAAAAATGCGCAGTTATGTAGTGCTAGGGCTAAATGACTAAACTGAATAAACGATTGTCAATTTTAATCAACATGCTAATACTTGTGGAAAAAATATGGTTTTGCATTTTCTGGTTAATTAATATAATATACGTTTTGAACAATGCGCAGTTACGTAATGCTATGGTGACTGATCTGGAAAAACAATTGTCAATTTTAATCAACATGCTAATAGTGGAAAGATTTTGAGAACAGGGCGTCTTAAATCAATAACTAGACGAATAGATTCACTCGTTACCTAGCGATGAAGCGGCGCTTCCTATTCTGTATTTCTATTTGAGTTATATCATTTTTTAGAAAACCAATCTTTAAATAAAAATTGATTCATAAAAACGGTAATGCACAATTGTACAAATTATTTGTTGCTGGGATTAATATAATAGTATCTTAAATAACATAAGAATGGACTGGTCCATAATGTTTATGTGAGAGCAAAACACAAAATAATTATCTAGATGCTGTTTATAAGTGTGAAATACATGATCCGGTATTACATCTCTATACACAGCAGATAATAATTTGTACTAAAACACTTTATTTGATTCGTAGTAGTAAATCGTTCAATAATTTGTCAGCATTTTCGTCAAGCAATATTTCAAATAAATATCCAAATAAATCATTTCTATTGTGTTTCTCTTATATTTGAACTACAGTGTACCCTCTGCAGGTAAAGCAATGTCCTGACTACAACCATCCCATGAAATTAAAAGAACTGCATTTAACATCTCTGAAAAACCATTTTAGAACAATAAAAATTTTTGCTTCAAAAGGGAAAAGTTTTTCCGGGGGGTTAATGTCCTCGGTTACCCATTTAGCCCAAAAAACGATTTAAATTTTATCCTGTTAGATGAAGGGGGCGCATGTATAAAGTTTTAAAAATTATTGATGATGGAATTTTTTTTGCAAAAATTTTTTTAGACTTGTATTTGTTTTGTCAAAAAAGAAAAACAGTGCTTTATTATTCATAAGTAAACAAATTGTGTTATGTGTTAATTAACAATAAAGGAATTCCCCCCTTGTTAAAATGGTAAAAAATAAAAACCTTAAAGAACGAGCACAACTGTGCAAATGAAAATGTTACAGGCTCCGATTGACAAAGCCTGCTGATGGACGCTAGTGGTAAGTCGAAGTCTTTATCAAATATGATAAACAAAAACAACAAGGAAAGGCGGCGATCAATGAACGCAGCACCCGCACGATCCAGCAACAAGAGCCAGCGCAAAAAGCCCAGGAAAAACCCCAAAAAAAAAAACGGGGACGGGGCACAAGGCAAGCATGGGCGGGTTTTAATCATTTAAAATTATACCCCAAAAAAGAAAAATTACTAACTGTTTTAAGAACTAAAGAAAAAAACACAAAATTTAAGCGAGTTTTCGACCCCCATATAATCCCCTTTAAAAAAACCCCAAAAGAACTTTCCGAAAAAACAAAACAAATAAAAAAAAACCCCAAAACACCGCAAAAGCTATTTTTTGTTATCTGAACTTCACCTAAAAACAATAATTTTTTAATTTGGGGGATTTTTAATTCCCCAAAAAAGGGTAGTTGCTTATCTAAACATATTTTTTCTTTGTCAATTTTTTTCCCTTTTAACAATTTTTGCCGAATTTTTCATCGACAACGGGAAACCAAATTTCCAAACCGCTGCATAGTTTTGCAATTTTAAAATAAAACAAAAAGTAATAGCCTTATTTTAAGCTCTGCCAACCCCACAGATTCTCCATAATTCCACGATTTAGTTTTGTAGCATTTTACTGGACGGAAACTTTGAGGTAAAACAAATTTTTTACTTCCCATTTCTTTCTTTTTCCCTCTATTTTATTAATTATGCAATGTGTTTAAAAAATATGGGGCTTCCATCTTTAAAACCATCAATTAATCGTTCCATCTGTACTTTTTTGACTTTTTTTGTTCCCCGTAGTTTTATTCACTTATTTTTACAAAGAATAACTTTTTTTTATAGACACACCTTGGTCTTCCAGCGTATGTTGGCAATATCAATTAATTTTCTATGAGACCTAATAAAAGAGTTCCAAACTTTTTAATATTATTTCTACGGTGGTCAGGGAAATAGTTCACTTAAACATCTACCATCACCTGGGCTTGGAATCATTTTATCAGATATAATTCTCAGTACATCACAACAAACAGATAACACAATACATGTTTATCTGATCAATACAGTATGCTAATATCTAATTTAATCTTAATTGTTGCTTTTTAAAATAACATGATTACCATTATTGTGTGTATTGAAAAACAACAACATCAATTACATCAAAAACTGATATATGTATAATAAACATTTTACTTTCAGTCTTAGCAAATTCGTTTTGAATGTGATCTAGATTCTTCCCTCCATATTTAGATCATTAGTTTTGTAAAAATTGTATTTTGACACGATTAGATTGTTTGTTTCAAACTGTGTTACAACTACTGCTGCTTCTGATTTATGACGATTGAATTTGTACATGTTTACATGTTTTTACATAATGTAAACTGTGACTCGGACAATAAATGTTTGAAATTAAATTGAAATTGAATTTGAATTGGTAAATTTAGCTTTTAAATTAAAATGCGTTAAGCGAAAAGTTTTGTTTTTGTTTAATATTTATATAAGTTAGTTTGAACATTGAAAAGAGAAAGTATTATAATAATATATATTACTTACATGCATATGGACAATAGAATCTACTTTAACTGATTCCTGTTTATCGCATTCAATATCATACCATTTGAATCTTTTAGAAGATTTCCTGTTATGAAAATCTATCTTAAGAAAAATAGCAAATTGTAACTTGATTCCTGATTTTGCAGTGGTGTTTTATGTAATATTGAGGAGCACTGATAAAATATCTCATAATCACTATGGCGACGGAATGCTCCGTTTCACTAGCGATTATTCCAATTACTTCTAGTCTAGTGAATGTATGTACATAACAAATGTGTCATTATTACATTATAATTGAATTGATGCAAGACAAGAAGTTTCTTTTCAGCTCATTATCTAAAATGCTTTGTTGTAAGCAATTTAAGATATTTCGAAGATTACGATATTCACCAATAACCTTTTCACCGCCATTGGTGGGGATACATATTTGCCTCACAGAACCACTTATGTATTTACCACCAAGATAGGGTTTAAACCCATTATTTTAAAAATTTACTTTTAATTTATTTTCTATTCCTTAGTATTTTTTTTTCTATTTTTTAAAATTTTTGGTTGTAAAAAAATTTAAATTTTTTTTTTTCTGTATTCATTTATTTTTTCATAATATTTCCCTCCCCTTTTTTTTTAAAAATTTTTTTTTTTTTCTATTATACTACCCCAAAAATTTTTTACCCAAAATAAACAAAATTAATTTTTTTACTTCCAAAAAAAAATACTTAAACATTTAAAATATGTACTTTATTGTCAAGCTTCAATAAAAGCAAAACAAGGTTTATGTCTTTGACCAATAAGTACCTTTTTGTAAACTATAACAATGCACCAAATATATATACCATTTAAAGCATTTGTGGGGTATAATGGGGCATTTGAGTAAATAACATTTAATGATTTTCGGAACATTTTAAAGCATATTGGAACATAAGATACGTTTATCCTAGCATTCTGTGCCAGTAACGTTTAATTTACGGCTCGTTTGTCCTTCACATTTATAAGTTTTAATTATCTTCAAAGAAAATAAACAACATAATATAAAATGAAAACGGAGCCATAATTTGAACTATAATTTATCTATAAAACAGGAAAAGATCACTTCATTACTAGGCAACGAAAATGTCATTAATTATCGATATAATGAGTTTCGTGATGTTTCGTTCTCGACTTTTTCACGAAAATTAACATGCTAATTTATATTGACTGCATTTGGTCACGTTTATTCAATTCTTTGAAATAAATATCATCTAATTCAGACCTCAAAAATCATAACAACATGTCTTGATCATTGTCTCCATTTTGTTTTCTGTATGATTTCTAATAGTTCGTTCACCCATAGTTAAAATTTATTGTGCCACCATTATATCTTGAAATTGTCGACATTAAGTTTTCTGTATAAAGATTCCTGATAGCCCATTTCTCAATCTCTTAGAATTTGATATGCGACTACTTTTTTCTGAAATTTGATACATGTTATTGCCATCAATTTAAATACAGTAATTTGCAGATGTATAATTTTTGGATAGCGCACAATAATTCCATGCACCTAACCTTTTCCTTTCTATCCATCTATCTTTTACTTAGTCATTAGTTCTACTAAGGTACCTACTTGTGACTATTAACTTTAAAAAATTGTCGATGGTTTAAACGATTTTATTCCCAATTAAATATATAATGCACATACAAATAATCAACAAGCAAAGTATTTTTATAGTATGGAAAAGGATGATAACAAAATACGAGTCTTAAAGATTTTTTCCCTTTAATTTGTCGATTTGAAAATACCATTATATAAATAAGCGATTACCGATGAAAATGGAATCTTGCAACAGCATAGAAACAGAAATGAGTGTCATTCAAGCTACTACCCTCCCACTCCTTAAAATGAAATAGCACCAAAAGATAATTTTGCAACATATATTTATATATTGACATGAAACTAAATGATAAGTACATGCCTTGTTTACTAGAAATATCAGCTTTAGTTCTAATACAATTTAAAACCATTGCAACATATCATTTCAGTCATTCAACATGGTAGTGTGGGTCAGTGGCTGTTAATATTTCATTTACAGAAGTAAATACATATTGTATAACTAGTTTATTCCTGCACATTCTAGAAGCATTGTAAAGTGATATGATCATTCTGTAGAAAATTGAAATCGGTTCCATGTTAGTTCATTACAATTAACTATTCTTGATCAAACATGAATTAATCTTGGAACGATCACTAATTAATCGTCATTCATTAAGTTTGTATCTAAATCATGTTGTTTAATTACAAGGCATTGTCCTTAAATGACATGGAAAATCAAGCTTTATTTTGTAAGCATTATGTAGTGTTTCCAATTATAAAATACCTAGGGAGATAGAGAAATATTTGTATCGTTAAAAAATCGGAAATAACTAGAACGCTGACGTAAGTTGTACAAAAACAATCATTGTTTGTCACAATTGTTTTATACAATGATACACAATTAGATTAATTTATTCACAAATTATGAGACTGACATTAAAATATTCCTTAATTGGTATGATTCCAATTTTAAACGTACACATATTACATGTATATCGAAGTAATGAGGTTGTTATGCTAAATGAATTGTTTTCACGTATTAATACGTATTAAATTAATGAAAGGTGAAATGCCTCAGAAATCTTTTATATATCTAAAACTTTCGAAAAGTTTTTTAATCTTAAAATGTAGTCATAATTCCGAAAAGTAACTGGCCAATTATCTAAAACATCCTTTGCTTCTGTTGCTTTTTGACAATAGTTACAGTGGATTAGTATATTGTATGGAAGTCAAAATACTAATTTGTTTACATTTTGTTGTCTTTATGACAAATAATTTCGCATTCAGCGACATTTAAACATGATTAGACTCCTGTTTGACCTTTCTAAAACGGACAAAAATCGTTTTTGAGTAATAATATGCCTTTAAGCGTTGCAAAAAATAGTTGACTGGACATGTATTTTCTAATTCTTACAATATTAAGTATTATTATTTCATCAGGACAAAGTTTATTTTCTTAAAATTTGGGCGAAATTGATATTATGCTCTTATGCCATTTTTAATAACATTTCTATTTTACCGTTGATGGAATGCTTAAACGAATATTTGCCCCGTTAAAACCAAATAGTAATTGATAGCTAAAGAGGTTACAAACAATAAATGTAATGCTACTACTCGTGTCGCCCATATTTTGCAAAGATTTGGCGTTGCTATCGAACATTTCTTGTTGTTTTCATATTTCTATGTTACGGATAGGCCTAATGAAATTTTTGAACATTTATCTTACTTTTCGTAACTGTCCTATGTAATTAAAAAATCAGAATTCTCGGCAATAGTCATTGTGATGTTGATGAAAAATTTCTAACGATGACGTAGCATTGTATCAAAAGATACATGACATATACTGTAGAAATATCTTTCTCCTAAATTTGGCCAGTAAAAAACGTGTAACCATTGGTGAGGGAGCATGAATATATCTGTTGATAATAACAACTGGTACAAAATATTAACGACAATGTTAAAGAAATCACTTCTTTGTATCACTAGCTATTCATTGACGTTTCAATTGCCAATTAAGAAAAACAAATATATATTGTAAACAGAAACTTTATCAGCTATAAATTAAATGCTGGAAATGCTAAAATATCTTCACTGACTAATAAAAGACAAAATGATTTTCATATTCCGTGCGTCATGATTATTACCTTACAAAAAATATACCGTATCATGCTATTGTAATGAGTTGATTATTTTCGGCATAGCTGTTGCATAGTTAAATCGATTTTGATCCACTAATAGAGCCAATAAAAACTGGTTTAAGAATAACATATCATTGAATATGTCTAAGACGGAGATAATATTTATATTATTTCTGTTGAAATATCAGATTAGTCACTAAAACAGATAAAACAATTCTGAACTTTGCTCAGAATGTAATAAAACGATATTTTTACCTTTTAAAAATATTAATTTCCATTTTGAAATTTGAACTCATTTGTGACTGACTATTAATACTAGTAGTCGTCTCGAATGTGAGTATCTTTAACTCAACGAAATGAAAAATATCGTTTATCTAATGAAAAAGACGTTATAGTTTCCACCTAGCCATCGTCAAGAGATGCCCTCCATGGCGTTGAAGAGTACGCAACTGGAGATTAAATTGAACTGTTTGCAAATGGCTTTTCACCGAATATAAGATTCTACGATATGCAAAGTTCTGTGTTATCATATAGATAAATGTAGTGTTATTTATAAATCTTTTTTTATGTTTTGAAATGAAATATGACTCAGCTCGAATGGAAGATTATTTAAGCAAATATTGCTATACACCAGATGAACTCTTAGAATAGTATAAATTAATTCATCACAATTAGTTTAATATTATGTTACTCGGTATTATTTTCAATTATTATTATTTTGTTAGAAAAGTGTTACGAGGCACAATCTAGAGTTTTCATATAAAATTGTTGCATCAGTGAGTGGTGGTGGTGGTGTTGATAGTTTTGACTCCGGATCTCGACAGTAAGCCACATTGAATTCACCAGAGCACAGTTCAACCACCGCATCGTTCCTGGGCAGGCTGTCAATCCCTTTACCAGTACTAGACACCTTCACTTTCGCAAGGTGCCAGAGCATCGGTGATGTCTGCCTTTTAACATATATTTAAATTACATTTATTCCATTACCATTGAAAAATCACGAGAAACAACAATCCATTTTGTATGTTATTTCATGAACTATAATCAATTCAAACTATGACGCGTCACTTTACGTATGGTATATTATACAGAGATCAGGCGATGTAGAGATTTGTCTTAATATATCACCATGGTGATGGAATATTACGCAACATTTATTCTTTATGAAAGAAATTTTAATAACAAACGCCTGGTTTAATAACAAACGCCTGGAGAATATATGATAAAACATCATCAACAACAATTAGAACAAAAAGCAACATCATCCAAAACAACAGTGGGTAACTTTATTCGAATATATTCTAAAATATGTAATGAATGATTTCATAAATGTTGTTATCTAACTTATTAAGTTAGGTATAAATTGTATGCACATTGTATAAAAGGGCCAGCGTGAGCAACAAACTGAAAGATTTGTAGTTGTATGTGCATCTCTAATAATTTTACAATAATCATCAAATATTAAATAAAAATATTCAAAGCTGTTTACGCGTTTAAATGTATTTCGTTTTTGTGAACAATAAGCTCATGTCTAATATCTATCATTTCATATAAAATTAAATAATTTGTTCATTAATTCAAAGCTGAAATAATGGGTAATGTAGTTAGTATATTTATTAACAAGGGGTTCGGATAATTCGTTATTGTTCGCGTTGTGATTTAAAAAATGAAAATATAATAAATAAATAAATAAATAAATAAATAAATAAATAAATAAATAAATAAATAAATATTAAAAAGTAAGTACACAAACAATCAAATAAATAAAGCTGATAATATATTGAATCATCAACTTTGTTTTGATGACCTTAAACAAACAAGAAATAATTCGTTTCGACAAGTTTCTATTTTTTCAAATTAGATTCAAGCGTTTGAAACAAAACGTGTGTCTTGAAATGGTAACAATGGACTAAGTAAGGAAATATCTCGAAACACACCCATTAAAATTCATTAATTAGCGTCAGGGTTTTATTGGTGCTATGGAATCAGAATGATTTCAATACAAAAGATGCAGCGCTAATGAAATAGTTATTTTATAGGTGTTTGTGTAATTGGTTCTAGATTGGTATAAGTATGTCAATAAATCACTCCTTTGAATCACAATCACTAGACAGATTTATCGTAGGTCATTCAGGACAAATAGGTGGTACTGCTGTTATTTATCGAACATCAAAAAATCACAAAATTCATAAACATGTTGTTATATTAAGAATTGGTTCAAATGATGCAGGCTTGATTCTATAACATAAAACTTAGTCTGAATTATTTAACCCTCAACATTCTGACGGAACAGGGTATACCCTACCGACATCCGTGATCTCTTATCATTGTCTGCATTGTTCGCTTTTCAGTCTGTAATAATTTACCAATTTTCCATAAAATGGCCAATAGTTTTTGGCAAAATTGATAAACTAACAAGCACATTAAGAAGCGTGGTAAGACTTAAAAATAGACCCGATCAGCTTCCGGTTTTATAACCGCCGTCCATTATCAAGGATTGGGATAGCAAATGACAATTTAAAGTGATTCAGCCCGCAATAAAAAGCATTATTTTGATCCAGATATTATTTGTTAAATTGCAAAAGTTTAAGAGTGGTCCGACTTTATACTGATAGTAAAAGCTAATCCATTCTGGTTCCAGCAGGTTGAATTAAAAAAAAATATGAAAATAAAGAAATTTGAAATTTTGACCCAAATTTGCAATTTCTGAAAGGAGTTAAATAAAATTTAATAAAATACTCAAAAACGTATTCTTTTATTCAATAGAACATTAGAGAAATTACAGAAACTGCATGATTTAGTAGTAATGTACATAATAAGAACTAAATCATCAATATAATAGAATCGAATGTAAA